GGGATGTGATTATGGACACCAGGAAAAGAAGTTGTTGCCAACTTAACCATGATCCAAATAAACAATAAACAATCTCCTATGCCTAATACTTGTTAAACTTAGACACCTGTCCTGATAGACTATAGAAAGAGGAAAACTGAGCAAATCGGAGAAGCTCTCTCTCATGCATACAAGATTATTAGGTCTTACATGTGGTAGTCAGTTTATCAATACATACGTAACCTTTGAATGAAGAAACAGAAAATTAATAAAGGAGTTTTCTTCCAGCTACAGTCTTACTTGCCATGGTATACAGAGTGGCTAATGTTAGCATTAGCTAACTTTAGCTAAAAAGCATGTATCTGATAAAAGAGTGTTTGTTGACTTTAACGTTAAGTTTAAGTAAGTTTAGTTTTAGTATGTCACAAATTTATATCAATTTTATCACATCCGTAAAACAATATCTCTTTAGAGGTATATTTCCACTCACTCTCAGTCAGTTTACCTGACTAAGATGGGTAGGAAAATTCAATATGCTATTATCCTGCAAATGCCATTTGTGGCCACAGTGGCTGCTGTTCAGCAAGATTTACATATAGATTAATTTTACGTTCAAATTCTTTGAACTTTAATGACAGTGCAAATATTATGTCATCTAATTTTAATTTAAAAGCTATACAAACCAGCTGATTGTATGATGAGCTGATAAAGAGAGAATGCCAATTTGTCATGTGGACCCACAGAAAACACATCATCATGACTGAGGTTTTTTAAAGGTTTGTGGATAATCATCACAATCATCAATATTTTCTATATTAATGTGAAGGAGTCGCTTGTTGTGAAACCACAGAGAATTATCACTGACATCTGTCCACAAAGCATTACAAAGCATTTTACCATCTTTTAACTCATTGTTTTGGTTTTACACCACCTGTAAGCTACCTGTCAACAGCAGACAGACACAATTAGCAACTAGCTGGTGAACATAGTGAAGCATTAAGCCACTAAAGAGACAGATATTTCTTAGGAGTTGGCGGAGAACAAAACAGAGCAAAAAGGAGAGTGAATTTTGGATTTACATTCGTCAGTTGGACACAAACACAACTTCATGTGAATGCTAATGTTGCTGCTGGACGTACAAATAACAAACTGTTTGCTAATATGTTCACTATATCAACTTTATATGGTGATAATATCAAACTGTTGTCTTTCAAAATCAAAAATCAGTTAATGCAGGTTTGGTTATATTCCATATATAACATTAATTTGGCAAATTACAGATTTCTGTTGCTGAAAAATAAATTAATTAGGTCTGTAAAATAACTTCACTGTTGTCCCACATGCAGTTAAAAACTAACCTTGTTTCTAATATTAAATATGTCCAAATACCAAAATGACTTGGTAAAAATAAAAAGATAAATATCTTATGAATTAGCAAAGTCTAATTCTTTGATATCATCCTGCACTAGGCACATGCCAGGACTGCTGTCTCCTTGTGCCATAGTTCAATAAATATTGTAAACATATTTAAAGGCCCTGTATACCCACACAGGTATTTTCAAATACTCTGCTTGAGCAGACCTCTGATCAGGTGGAAGTTGAGATGAGCTATGATGGTACATAAACGACATCTCCAAACTCTATGTCCTCATACTAATGATGAGAACGTGCAACAAAACTAAGAAGAGAGGCAATGTCAATCAAGTGCAGTTTGCACACAGTCTTGTGAAGATCTCTAATCAGGCAACATAAGTGAAAACACCTGTGTGGCTGTCTACTTTGCAGTCTCAAGATGAAAAATAGCACTGTAAGGTTCCTTAACACCCTGAGGACTTACAGGTGTCATGTGGAGGGCAACATGAAGTAAAATTACAACCTATTGTGTAGCCTGATTCTAGACACTGGAAAGCCTGTTAAACGCTTCTCTAAGTTCCTCTTTATGTGGCTAGCATCACTCTACAGGTTCCTCATATGTGTTCTTATCCTAAATGTACAACAGATCTCATTCAAACAAGCCGTTTGGATTACATTATTACTTAATCAGACGGCATTTTGAGGAAGTCATACACAGGGTCTCACAATCAACGCCGCTGTCATTGTGCTCAAGTTGAACAGGAGCCGTTATAAAATGAGGAATTCCGTGTTGCAAAGCCAATTAAATTGCGTTTTACCAGTATCACAAGATGTTCAGTTAATCTCGTTTCTTACAGATCGGGTGTAACCCTTCAAATGAGGGGTGTTAGCATGGATATGAATATTTTATGAGCCACTGAACAATGGTCTTTTGAATGGAGATGGAAGATAATCACACAGATGCGCTTGATTACAGCTGCTGTAACATCAACAGTATTTTACTCAGTTTTGCTGTGAAATACAAAAACAGACAATACATACATATATGCAGACCTGTAACCAGATACATTTGCCAATGGAGCCTGTTCACTTTTTTAAAAGTGATTTTGATGCAGCTCTCCTAAGTTTTCTGGACTTTCCCCAGACAGTTCCTCATCTGATTTTCCCTCACTGTCTTCTCTGCAAAATTCCTCCCAGAAATGCCTTGTGTTGTCTGGCTCACTATAAAGCAGGCTGCTCCATGCACAGGCCAGACCAAGACAAGCGAGGGAAGCCAAGGCACATGAAGAACCTATTAGGGGGCCTAGCAGCCAGCAGCAACCCTGGGAGGCCAGCCAACTCAGTGTGTGAACAATAGGGAACCCAGCTCAACAAAAACATCCTGCAGAAGTGAGAGACTGGGAGGGTGAGAGGAAAGGACAAGCGAGCAGCAGGCCAGATAGCCTGTTTGGGCCTGTCACGGTATCAAAACACAGAGGGGCTGGTGTTTAGAGGAGCTAACTTTGCTGATGTTGAGTTTTACAAAGAAATGCATCAGATCCGTGCACTTGGTGTGGTCGGTGCAGAACATTTGAGCTGAGATCGTAGATGGTTAAGGCTCAGAAATCAACTTTAACGGTTAACAATAACTTTAACCTTTACGTTGCAGTGAAGACCAGATGTGAGATACAATGCTTTTTTCAAGCCAGCATCATACAGAAATGAACTCTCTGAGCAAATCGGAGAAGCTCTCTCTCATGCATACAAGATTATTAGGTCTTACATGTGGTAGTCAGTTTATCAATACATACGTAACCTTTGAATGAAGAAACAGAAAATTAATAAAGGAGTTTTCTTCCAGCTACAGTCTTACTTGCCATGGTATACAGAGTGGCTAATGTTAGCATTAGCTAACTTTAGCTAAAAAGCATGTATCTGATAAAAGAGTGTTTGTTGACTTTAACGTTAAGTTTAAGTTAAGTTTAGTTTTAGTATGTCACAAATTTATATCAATTTTATCACATCCGTAAAACAATATCTCTTTAGAGGTATATTTCCACTCACTCTCAGTCAGTTTACCTGACTAAGATGGGTAGGAAAATTCAATATGCTATTATCCTGCAAATGCCATTTGTGGCCACAGTGGCTGCTGTTCAGCAAGATTTACATATAGATTAATTTTACGTTCAAATTCTTTGAACTTTAATGACAGTGCAAATATTATGTCATCTAATTTTAATTTAAAAGCTATACAAACCAGCTGATTGTATGATGAGCTGATAAAGAGAGAATGCCAATTTGTCATGTGGACCCACAGAAAACACATCATCATGACTGAGGTTTTTTAAAGGTTTGTGGATAATCATCACAATCATCAATATTTTCTATATTAATAATCGATCAAAAGAGTACGTGTAATGTGAAGGAGTCGCTTGTTGTGAAACCACAGAGAATTATCACTGACATCTGTCCACAAAGCATTACAAAGCATTTTACCATCTTTTAACTCATTGTTTTGGTTTTACACCACCTGTATGCTACCTGTCCACAGCAGACAGAAATATATATCTCAAACCACAACTGTTCCATCACATTTGTAACACCCTCTTAACTCAAACATTTGCAGTTAAAAAAGGTCGACACCCAGTAAACGTTACAACACGAAGAGTTCCGACATGTAGAAAGATGTATTGTGGTGTAGCTTTTCCCACGACCCTCCCACAGCCATGCAATATCAGCTGCAACTCAGCATTTCCATGAAATGGGGACAACATGACTCAATCAAAGATTTCACTTGCTGGGACTCAAAATGTAACCCACAGTATATCGTGCTATAAGCACAGTAAAGAAGGACAAGAAGCCAAGACTGAGCTCTGCTGCAGAGAAAATGATTGAAAATGTTCACCACAAAATGCACACTCTTAACACAGTGTTTCTTAACTGTTTATGGCTGCAAATGAATGTGTGTTTTTGACTCATGACCGGTCCAAATGAAGTGAGAGTGGTTATCAAGTTTAACCAAGCATTTTCAGGGCCATTTCATGCATCATCACAGGAGGCTACGTACATATTTTGTGAGAAAAAATCACAGAAATAGATATAAAAAAAATAACAAGTAGGAATATGGTTTGTTTCTATCCAAACATAGCAGCTCATTGCGAATCAGTAAGTCTATTTTTTTAAGTAGAATTATACAGCTTATGGGAGAGGGGTTAATAAAACAAAGACAATTACAGAAAGAGAGTATAGATAATGAGTGAAAGACATCCTCACGTAAGAGGCAAAAACAGGTTGTCAGCAGAGAGCTGTATTGTTGTGCAGAGCTTGTGCCTTAACCGTCGGAAAGAGCGCAAGAGAGGAGTGTGTGTTGGAAAGTTTTTGAGTGTGTGGGGGTAACATTAAACCAGCTCTCCCACAACACACACAGGGGAGGGGACCTTTCTTTAAACTGAGCCTACCCATAATGCACTGCGCTCTTTTATCCCTGCAGTGAAAGGATGAGGCCAGATGAATGACAAAAGGAGAGAATGGGGATCTGGGTTGGGCCAGGCTTGGAAGACAGGGAGCAAGGAGAGAGAGAGAGGAAGGTGGGGGTGTGTTTTCCAAACCAACCTTTTCTATGAAAAATGCAGGGGGGGCATAGAACACATAGCTTTTTGCTTGGGATATGAGGAAGAAATGTATGCATACACAGAGAACTTGAGTTTAATGATTTCTTTACTGGCTTGTACACAAACGTACAAAAATAATACAGCACTCATCTCCACATGACATCACGTCATCATCACAGTGTTACAAACGTTCAAAAACCAAAGAATACAAACAGAAATCCAAAAATAAAATCAAACATGATGGAACATCTGCATCACTCAAAAAAAACAAACATCAGCTGTTTCCTCTTGCTTGAAATGAAGCAAGGGCGGAAACACAACTTGGTCCAAAGAAGTCAGCACTTTTTTCTTTTTCTAAAAAAATCATCTCACTCATGTACACCAATTCGGCGGCTGGCTCCTTACGTCATAAATGTTATGACCCTGGTAAGCCAAACAACCACACAACCGTGCAATTTTTAATCATGTTACAATGATCTTACCATCAAATGTATTATTCCCCTTTCAAAAAAAACAGGAAGACAGCACTTCAGAAAAGAAAGTGCCCCAAGATATCATCATCATCATCAGCGTTGATATATATATATCCATATGTATATATACATACACCCAATCACAGAGATACACGCATCTTTGTTTTTAAAAAAACGCCATGTTTTTTTTCCACAAAGTAACACACACATTAGGACATTATCACCTGGAGCATATATTTATACAATAGTATTTGTTGTGTTTGTTTTTTTCTATTCAGAAAAAAATTAAATGTTGACACACAAAAGCCAACCTTTAACAACAGTCATCAGTGCAATATTCAAACAAAACAAAAAAAAATAAAGGAAGAAAAAAAAAACATCAAGTTTAAGACAAGCAATGCATATATCATTTGTTGCCTGATACCAATCTGTACTTTGATGTAGTGGATCTATCGCTTCAGTTACTTTTGTGGTTGTTCCAGGTTTCAAATGGGATGTTCTCAGTCTGGATGACTGTTGTTTTAACACAGCAACACGGGGCCTCAGGAGAAGCGCACAACTACACACACACACACACACACACACACACACACACACACACACTCTTCAATTACAAAAACGCACTCTCTCAGCAGCTTCTCCTGAGGTGAACCAGTGCTGCTGTGAAGAGTCTATACAACTGTTGGCCATTTGAGCAGAAGATTTTTAAAAAATAACATCAACATCAACAACAAAAAAAAACGTACAAGCAGCATTGATACAAATGTTAGGGTGCCATGACTTTCAAAATGCAGCAGGCAAGTTTATGGAACCAAATTCTCTTCTTGTTTTTTTTCCTTTTGTTGTGACATCCTGCTAAGTCATGTGTTGTTGTTTTTAAAGTCTTCATCGTCCAACAGTATTAGGGTCCTGCTCAGTAGTAGTAACTATTCCAAAGCCTTGGCTCCTGCAGTTACCCCGTACAAACACTGGGGACGCACAAGGCTCCGCATTTTTGTGCAATAAAACTCCCTGCATTTATAAGTCATGCGATACAATTCCACTTTTTTTGTATGACTGAAAAAAATATAGAAATAAAAAAACGACCATACAGGCTGATGAAGAGAGAGAGAGCAAAGAGGAGGTTTACAGGGAAAACATGCAACAATGGCAGTGTGTGTGGTGAGACATAGAGACAGAAAGAGAGAGAACCAGAGACTCCCTTGCAGAAAGGCAAAACGATGCTTTGCTTGTCAGAATTGGTTTGGTTGTAGTGTAGAATAAACTGTCCCGACTGAGGATGCAGGAAATAAGTTCATTGCATCTTGAAGTCCATCGTGTCTGTTAGGCTACATAGCGAGAGAAGGAAGAAAAAACCCATACTGGCATGCGGATGATCACAGACAAATTGTGAATCTCTTCAGACTCCAAACAACGTGGCAGAGTGGTGAGAGAGCTGAACAACTTGAGAATACTTTTATAGTCGAGGTAGCTGGCAAAAGGAAACCAAACAAAGTCCTTTTTGATGGGAGGGAGGGGTAGAGAAAGTCTTCTGAGGGTCAACAGACTATAACAGAGGGGTTTCTGGGGGGGGGGGGGGGGGGGGAGCAGGTCTACCTCCACACGGGACAGTTTATACTACGAGTCTGAAGCAGCTTGAGTCACCCTAGATATTCTTACACTTTTTTAAAAGAAGAACCACAACATATTCAAAAATGCATCTTCTCAATGTACCTTCATAAATAAAAAAAAAAACCCAGCCTGCTTTCACAGTGATGACTAGGATGTTAATAAAATACTGAAAGGAGATTATAAAGTGAATTCCAAATGTGACTTTTTTGATACAAAGCGAAAGCAGCGTTTTTTTTTTAACACAATGACCACTGGCAAAAGTGGTCACACTGGCCTGAACAGTTGGACGCCAGCATGGCAAGATCTGTAGGCAGGTAGGCAGAGCGCACTCAGCTACTGTCTCTTCTTTTCTTAAAAAAACCAAACAAACAAAAAAAAACAGAAACAAAGTAAAGCTATTGTGTACAGTACTTCACAACAATGATGGATCAGTTGTTGTTACATAATGATTACACATCGGAAAGCGTGCTGGATAGCCATAATGCCGCTCTTTTGAGTAAAAAAAAGAAAGAAAAAATAATCTATTAAAGAAAACAGACCTCTGGTAGCCAACAGAGGGCAACCCTTCTTCTCTTGTTCGTGTGTCTTCCCTTTCAGATATTCCAGCATGCAGCCATATGCAGCATCAAGTGCCGTGTTTCATATAAAATAACTTAAAAAGGGTTTTAACAAGTGAACAATGAGGAGCGACAGGTCAAATCTGCGCCCCCTACAAAGAAACTATTGTAGGAACTGTACTGGGGATGGGAGGTCATGGAGAGGGAAAAGAAACTGGGCCATCTGCACTCCGGAGTCCAAACACACACATGTGATACACAGGCACTGGCTTCTTTTATAGTGAACGACAAGATCTAGTAGGCTATACACATTCAAGAGGAAAGCTTTAGTACCAACAAACTCACCGAAAAGGCGTTTCTTTTGTTAAAAGATTCGTGTTGAAGCGCTGTGTATGAACCATGCGGTGCTTCACTCAGGAGTGCACAGAGAGCCCCGTTTGGTTTACAATGAGGGAAGATTATTGTGCAGGCCTATTTTTATTTCCTTTTTCAATAGAATTTGGCACAACTATGTAGATAATGGCAGTTTTTTTGCTTTTAAAAGAGCCTGACTTTCCCGTGTGTTGCAATTTTATTTTCCACTTGTTGAATTTTTTTTTTTGTTGTTTTCTTATTTTACCTGACAGCAGAGACAGATCACCGGGCGCCAGAGGAGTACTTGGCCTTGGTGATGAGGTATAGCACAATGTCTTGGTGGCCCCCGAAGGCGGCGATGTGTAAAGCGCTCCACCCCTCCCTGTTGGCAAGCCGTATATCTGCTCCAAACTTCACCAGCAGTTTTACCAGCTCCAGGTTGCCGTCAATGACGGACTGGTGGAGGGCCGTCTGTCCTTCTGGCCCGAAGGAGTTGACGTTGAACTCACAGTTTGTCATGTTCTGCAGCAACGAGTGCAGCTCCTTGGTGTTGCCCTTCTTCACCGCCTCCTGGAAAACCCTCTGCGGCGCGGAGCAAGTCGACACATCCGCCTGGCTCATGGTTGCAGCGCGCTGGAGGGTGGGGAACCAGTAATCCTGCCTGGGCTCTAAAGCTGATAATAATCGTCTTCTCCCTGTTGATCTTCTCTGGTCTTGTGACAATGCCACAGTTACACTGGATTATAACCAGTTATTAAGGCACTTTAAAGTATTAAAACAGAAAAAAGAGCTCTGTATATATCCCAAAAAGGACAGGAGAGGAAATAACACACTTGGTGTGCAAAAATGTTAATATTTGAGAGATCCTAAAATAAAAAACATAAAAGGGTGCTCTCAAGCGATCCAGGCGTCTCTACGTGTAGCTCCCCCCTCTGTAGTAGCAGCAGCAGGTAGCCTATAGCAGGGGATGGAGACGAGAAACACCTCCGACTTCACTTGGGGAAATTGGAAGTATGACACTATCTCCACAGGCCAGCCTCCGCAGCTTTTTCTTGAACGGCCCGACCTGTTTTCCTGGCTTTCACGTCCTGGCTATGTGTCGCCGCTCATGTGGCCAGGGTGTCTGGGGAAGACAAAATAAAGACAAAAAGTCCAAATGAATCCCGGCTCCTCACCAACAGGCTGCGAGAGAGACCCCACATTCCGCCACATCCAAGAGGGAGAGAGGACACCTCCGTGCGCACACGTTTGCGCACGGACACACTGCTTGATTTTTTTGGCACTTAACATGTCTGGAAATGTAATCCCCTGCAGATTTGTGACTTACCTGTGACAGATGGACGGGTCCGTAGCGACGAAAACGATACAAATCCACCGTGTGGGCCGGTCTGTGTCCTCTGCGCGGTCCGTGCGAGTCTCTGCCCTGCGCTGAGCTCTGGGGGAATATTTTACGCGTCCTGTATTTGCATGACAATACCATCCCAAAGAATCAACTGTGGAGGAATGGGCGGAAACCCAGGGAGGTTATAGGCTGCCGGTTCGGTTAGGGGGAGGGACCAGAGCCCTGTGAATCTGCACGGAGGGGGTGTGGTCTTCCGAGAGGGGGTGGGAGGCTTGCAATTGTTTCTGCAGAAACATTAAACAAGGCGCCCGCAGCAATATTACGGTGAGCTCAATATCCGATCTCCTATAGCCGACCCCAGGAAGCGCACAGAAAGCCAGAGGCAAGGTGCCGCCAGAGCTGTAAACTGCTGAGAAAGCGGGCGCGTTGTAAATGATCATCCAGTGGACTAACATCAACAGGAACTTGTAACAAAACGTCAACCAAGCGTGTACGCGTCTCATTGACAGCGATGTAAATCACAGAAGAGCAAGAGAGAGTTTTTTATTGATGCAAAGCACAAAGTCTACTGAAAAATAAAATTATCTATTTAACTTCTAAAAAGGAAAAAAATATCTCATCACTGGCTCATGGACTTTATGTAATATTAGTCAAATGGTTAGTTATGTCTTTTTTAAGTAAAGAGGTGGATTAATTAACACCCTTTCGTGTTAAATTAGGGGCAGAAAGGGTGCTGATAATGATATACTATCCAGGAGAGGGTGGGGTTTACAGCTATGTGCTGTTGTTGGACCTACAGGTGGCCAAATTTTCTCTGCACTGTGACCCTGAAACGAATGACTGACCAGAACAGCTCAGGTCATTTTTGCACAAATATGAAATAAAAATGAACCAAATGCTGGGTCCATCATGTGCTCATGTGGGTATTTCAAATTCAGACAATAGTTGAATTCTCCAAGGCTGACTGGAGACCGAATAGCACGAATGCAGTTTTAACAGCGGCTGTCCCAAGTGTGAAAGCATCTTTTCACAACAACAAAATCAAAAACCTCAGACAAGCCTGTGTGTTCTCTCAAGACTGCGATTACCTCCGAGCCAAATGGGAAGGACAGTAAAATATACAAACCCCAAACTGTCGTATAAAAAACACCTTTGAGGAGGAGAGTATAGGTGACTGTTTAAATCATAAACTGTGGATAAATTCCAGTTGTTTTGAAATGACTAGACTGTTGGACTTCAAATAACAAAAGCCCTGCGCTACTTCCTTTTTGCAAGTGAAAAGAGGTGACGCTGTGCGCAGATTGACACGCCGCTCAGCTCCCCCCTCCACCGTGGGAACTGGGTGCCTGTGTGAGTGTGAATGTGTGTGTGTGTGTGTGTGAGAGTGAGAGTGTGAGTGAGAGAGAGGGGGGGTGGGGGGTGGGGGGGATATATTTTGATATAGAGAAACACAGTTTGACAGAAAGAATGCATGTGAAAGTGACAGAGCTGGATAGGCAGATAAAGAGAAAGATTGAGAGAGATATATGTGGAAACCACAGCAGGTATCTCAGCCTCCCTCGGGCCGTTTGCTCCGTTTGGCGGCCCTTACTTCATCTCATCTGTGTAACACTTTATAAACCGCTCTCCGCTCTGATGGTTTGGTGGCTTTCACACTGTCCTCTTTTTCCCACACTCTGAACTGTACATTTGGCGCACGTCTATGGCTGCATCTGTCTACATCGGTGTGCGATTGTGCACCGTCAGGCAGCAACGGAGATCCCACGTATGAAGGTCACAACCTATTTTATTTAAACTGATAAAAAAGTGTTAGTATGACATTAAAATATGATAATTTGGAGCGCATTATCATGTTCATGGAAGGTGATTTTTACGTTTTACTGGCAGGTGTCAAAATAGTATATATAGTATATATATATATATAGTACAATATAGTATATCAATATAGTCATAGATTGTGATAGGGCCTACCTAAAACATAAGTAACCGCAGCTCTAAATAAATACACACGCAGCATTATTAAACCACAGCTAACCCATATACAGTAGGCTATGCATCAAGTTATGTTACCACACAAAGTAACTTAAACAACTAAAAAAAAACTTTTTTAATAGGGTAAAGAGATTATAATATAAAGTAGGCTATGTAGTAATCCTTGCTTGGTTTTTGGTAGTCATTGTGATGAAGCGCTCCAAAGTGGCATTTCATGGCGATTGTGAACTTGTCCATGATGTTTCTAGGAACCCCTCAACACACAGTCACTTTATTAAATCTAGGCTATCCATTATTTCTTAAAATGACTAAGCGATCAGGAATGAATTGATTGTGTTCATTTTTTTTTAAATTACAGAACCCCTTGGAGTGCATTATCAAGGTTTAAACCACAAAGGCTCATCGTGGTACACTTTTAAAGTCTGAAACACATTTGAGGCAAATTTGTGATTTTGGGCTATCAAACTGATTTGACTTTCCACAGTTACTGAATGTAACAGGAGTGTTAATATACCAATCACACTGAGCTGTGGTTTAACTGTTGGCCTGAATTGTATTTAAAGGTGTCTCAGTACATAATGAAATTTAGTATTTCTGTTGGCCACTCTATCTTAGATGTTTGTCATAAGTTTAGGACCTGCTCAAGTGAGAATAAAGGATGAACAATTGGTCAAACCGCCTGTGTGGGAAACTGTGATTCATCTGTTTTGGACACTTTCAGGTGCATCGGCAGGTGACTGTTTGTGTTTTCTGTTTGTTCCGCTGCAGCTATTGGCCCACAGCTGCAAATGTTTCAAAACAAAGACTCTGACTCATTCATAGAAATGTGGTGAATAACCTTTTTAGGAAGGCTACAGTAAAAGATGTGTGTTCCTCTCAACAGTCAGCATTGGCCTGCATGGACATTCAAAACTCTTACAGCAGGGAAGTATATAAAGGTTATGGACGTTATGGTTTCTTTTTTCAGATTTTATATTCTTAGGATCATAGGATTTTATTATGTTTGTTATGTACACGTTTTATGTCTTAGGATTACTGAATGCTGCAGAACATCTTCTGGAAAATAGGGAACATCTGTCGGCTATCAGAGCTTTGGCTGCAGCGCGTCTGGACACTTGTGGAAAACATTTGCACAGACTGCAGGAGCCAAAAGTTTATCCGATTGGATGAGTTTCTCCCCCAAACTCTGTGGCATTTGCTCTCTTCTCTCGGCCCCCCACTTCGCTCCCGAGTCTTACTTGTTAATGAAGCAGCCAAAAACCAGATACAATCATGAGACTGTTGCTGTACTACTTCACGCAGAAATGAAATTATTTAACAATCTTTTCCCTTTGACAGGCCCAGCTATTAACACAGTTGTGTAAAGGCTAAAACCCAGTTCACAACGCATGCGTAAAAGCGCACGCCAATCACAATCAAACTTTGCAATAATGATATCCAAAACTCTTTCAGTCGCCCTTTAGTGAGGATGGTCAGGTTTTGTGAATGTAGCCTGAGGGGTCGCCTAGAGGTTGCACTGAGTTCTCCACCTAGAACCAACTCCTAAATTGAAACTGGTCACACAAAGATAATACGAGTGTGTTATGGTTTGCAGTTAGATCGCTGTTCTATTGCTGTGTTCTTCTTCGAAGCGCCGGACAAATCGAGGAATATCAGTGCGCCGCACCGAGTTTTGGCGCCGAGACCCGGGGCACCCGGTGCCAGACAAGTCGGGAGGAGCTTCCCGTTCTAGCATGTTGCGCACATGTCGCAGAAGAGCAGGGTCCGGATAGGAAACTCGCACCCTGGGACACCAGAAGAAACATTCTTCTAAAACTGTCATGTCATTTTTTATACGGCAGTGACGATATAATCATAACGCGTTGGCAATATTATTATTTTACTTTCATACCAGAAAGCATGTTGAACTTGGTATGTGCGTGTGTGTGTGAGAGAGAGAGAGAGAGAGAGAGAGAGAGAGAGAGAGAGAGTGGTGACGTTTTACCGGGAGGGAGGGCCTTCTGAATCCAATTCATTCCGGGCACCACGTGTCCTCAGAGCGTGGGAAAGAGGCGAGCTTTTCTTCCCAGCAAAGAAAGAGCAAGGATCAAATAACACGGGGCTGCAGCAGAAAGCTCGCGCTCTGCGCAGAGGCAGGGGCTGCGACCACCCGGACAAGGACGGGACAAGACACACAGAGAAGGGCTTATTTGGGAGCTAGGGTGTCGACTTCATTCATAGCAATAAAAATACTTCAGGGTCGATAATTGTTACTGTAGTTATTATACTGTACAGACTGCTTTGAAAAAAGGGCACACGGCAAGTTGCCAATACTTTTTTTTGTATTCCAGGATGTAGCCTATGTTGGAGAAGTAGTACGTCATCTTATGTGAAACTATATTATTAGGAGCAACTACAGAAATAGGCGTATTTGCGGATATAGAGATTTTTTTCATACGATTTAACGTCCAGCAGTGAAGAATTAGGCCAGTCTCCACTCCAGATCTAAACGGCAATCTACATGCTGGCAAGATTATCAGCCTCTTTCCACACCTGAAAGTCTAATTTGCGACAGTTTTACAAAGAGATAGGGAATCTGTTTCCCTTACCTAAATGTATCAATAAATGAAGAATAAATGAAATGATAGTGAATATTTTCATAATGACTCAAAGTGACAGTGCAGTCAAAGTAAGGTGTTTCTTTGTATTTAATATATACATGTATATAAAACACAAGCTGATTCCTATAATACCCTGGTGTTGGTCTGCTCTTTATAAAGGTTTATAAATTGAAACTAACTTTCTTAATGTTTATAAATCATTTAATGTAATGTTTTATAGATCAGTTATAAACCCTTAATAAAATGTTTTGTCCATGTTGTGAAAAATCCCAGGGGTGGCTTTTATCCTCCCTCAGTAGACACTTCCTTTGTCATTTTAGTTCTTTAAACATCATGAATAGCCTGTGGCCCAGGCTTGAGAATCGCTGCCCATGTCTTCAATTTTCTTCCAGTGATTCAAATGCAAACATAAACGAAAAAATATATATATTTTATCTTATTATGTCATGGCTTGGAAGAATTTGGACAACACTGAGAGAAATATGCTTTTTTGCTTCCTTCCTGAGAGTTAGAAGAGAAGATCACTTTCATATTTGTAACTTTATGCTAAACTACAGCCAGCAGCCGCTTAGCTTAGCACAGAGACTGGAAAA